AGGTATGTGTACTGGTCCACTACTGCAATCTCCTCGATCCCCCGCTTCCATCTATGTTCTACTGGCTCCTCCCTGTTCTCGTTGCATACCATGACGGCACTCTTCTGAACGTTGGAAGACAATCTCCACTTATCAGTAAACTTCTTCGTCGCTCAATTTGCNGTGTCGTATGCCTTTTTCACGTCCAGGAAGAAGCAGTACGTCGGCTTTCCCGCACGCCCTCTTTCTACCTTGGATGATTCTCCCTACCGTGAATGCGTGGTCTACGCACCCCCTCTTCTTTCGGAAACCTGCCTGGCCCTCACTAATGCTATGTTCCTTCTCCAATACTCCCACTATCCTATCGTTCAGCAGCTTACAGAACACTTTTCCTACTGTGTTCAACAGTGCGATCCCCCTGTAGTTTCCTGGGTCAATCTTGTCTCCTTTCTTAAACAAGTTCACAACTACTCCTTCCCTCCATCTACTTGGCGCATACTCGTGTTTCCACACCCAGTTGTAGAGCAGTACCATCAGCTGGATCATCCCCTTCCCCCAAACGTCATGAACTCGTCGACTATCCCATCCGCCCCTGCTGCTTTGTAACACTGCAGCTTGTTCACACACGCCTCAACCTCGTCCTCAGTGACCTCCTTTTCTAGTTGTACGTTCCCAACGTCTGCCTTCGATGTCTCTTCTTCTTTTTGGGCCCATGCGTCCACCTCCTTCTTAAACACTTGGCCCAGTGCCGGGGGGGGGGATAAGTCAAGGAATTCGGCATAGTGTTTTGAGCCACTCGGTCCGCCTCTTCGTGTTTCCTGCCTTTCCTCGCCGTCTCGTCTGCCTGCTTTACCCCTCCCGCCCCCGTGGTTGTTGCCGTGTTCGTGTTGTTGACGGTCTTCTTGTTTCGTATGAGCGCTCGTTGTCGGTTAGCCTCCTCTTCTTTCTTGTGCCAGGAGGTTTTGAACCTCTTAGCTCCCTGCAGTACTCCTGTATGCGACGGTACCCCCCGGTCCACCTTCGCTGCTTCCGTCCAAGTTGTTTCTGGGACTCCGAAGAAGCATGGCTCGGCGTCCGTAGATCCGTGCTCCGCTTCGATCATCTTGAGGTTGTCCTTCAGGCACATCTGCCAGTTTTGCTCCGGTTTCCCCCCGCCTGGGCCCTCCCACCACCCTCCTCCCCCCTCCCGGTTTTTGCCATCGGGGTTGGGTTTTCGTCGCTTGGCAAAGACGTTGCAAAACAAGCCGCCCCCCCCGGTGTTCTCCTTTCTAGACTTAAGTGGGTTGGCGCTGTTGGCAAAGCGCTGTAAAGCACACCACCCCAAATATAGCCCCCATAGTATGCGCTACCAAANCCCCTCCCGGTGTTTGCCATCGGGGTTGGGTTTTCGTCGCTTGGCAAAGACGTTGCAAAACAAGCCGCCCCCCCCGGTGTTCTCCTTTCTAGACTTAAGTGGGTTGGCGCTGTTGGCAAAGCGCTGTAAAGCACACCACCCCAAATATAGCCCCCATAGTATGCGCTACCAAAGACGCGTGACGTATGGACGAGTGGAGTGAGGATAGCTGTTTACGGCAACCTCA